GTGACGTACGCGCGTGCATGCGTGCCTGCCGCGGGCGTGCGTGCACGCGTGCTCGTGTTGGGATACAACGATGTAAGGCGATGAAGGGGAGAGATGTTCTATTCGCCCTTTTCTGTTTTGCACCCTCTCCTTTTCTCCGTCTTCTTTCTGTCTTTTTCCCTGTCTTTCTTATTTTTTCCGTTTCTTTTCCTCGCCCTCTTTCTCTCCCTCTCTCACTCTCTCTCTCCCTCTCTCTTTCTCTGTTTGTTAGTTTGACGTTGCTCTCGTGCTGCTTGGGGGGTATGGTACAACGAGTCGGAGAACCAATACCCTTCGACGGGCAAGTATAGGCCTCGGCTAGCGACTGCACGCGCTCCTCCGCGGAAGAGCCGATCTCTCTTCAGAGAGAGAACGGAACGTTTTCCCTTCCCCCCTGATGCGGTGGAGACCACTGGACCCCCCCAAGACCGATTAAATCTTGCCCCGCCTCTCTCAGCCTGATTCCCGCCTCTTGTCTCCCTCCGTTCTCTTCCTCCACCAGTGTAAGCTACGATCTCTTCGATTTCTTCCATCCCGCTGTGCTCCTCGTCTTCTGCTTCTTTCTCTTCCTCGTCAGCGACATCATTTTCTTATCTCACGTAGTATTCGCTAATGATTATTTTTCTCATTTCCGCTTCTCTTTCCAGTTCTCCTTCATGCTTTCATCTACCTTTTGAAATGAAAGGTGGAAGTTTAATCAACTTCCATTGTTGAAGAACAGATTCCTCGTGCTGCTTGCAAGGGAGATAAAAGTAACTATTTAAATTGATTTATAAATATAAAATTTAGAATAAAAAATGTGGATTATGCAATATAAGATGCAAAAAATTGTTTCAGATTTAGAATCATAAATCATATTAATAAGCACACTTAATTTTAAAACTTTATAATTTTATAACAAGATATAATTTACTTTATAATTTATTATAACATATAAATTACTTTATAATTTATTATAAGGTATATTACAAACTTCTTCTCTCTCTCTCTCTCTCTTTCTTTTATAAATTTAACTTTCTATCGATATTTTGAAACGAATTTATACATATAATTCAGTTCTGATCCTGAAGGCATCTTTGATAATGATACCTTTTCCCGACAGGGTTATTGCAATCGCCGACTGTTAGCGAACGCAAGGATTGCACCTATTTCATCACCACACGTTCTCGTTCTCTCATAGCACGAAGCTAGCAGTTTCTGACATCTCTTATGCCTAAATTGTCTGGCAGACGTGGAGAGCACGTGGTTCTCAAAGGGAGATGGTAGGCGGGCTTTACTAAGGCTACGCCCAACGAGACTCCCACTACGGATCCTTATATTCCTTGCGCAAGGAATATCTCTACCAGAGTTCCCCACTCTCGTTTACTCTTCCGTTTTGTCTCCCTTCCATCCTCGAGCGTGCTCACCCGGTCCCTCTACCTTTTTTCTTCTCCTTTTTTCATTCACTCTTCCCTCACTACGGCCTAAGTAGTTTTCTCCTTTTCTCGTCCGCCGTGCGTCGTCGGCCAGCTCTCTTTCGTTGGGAATGCGTGAATCGAAAGGCGGAGGTGTGCACGCGCGCGCGTATGTGTGGGAAACACATCGCGGAATGCGGGACAGCGTAGCTATGGAACTATACTAGCGGGGCTTTTTTTCCTCCACCTTGATTTCTGGAGGATTCTAACGTAATGTCGTCCATGTCGAAAATTTTTTCATTCTCCACAGGATTTTTATTGCATAAGAAAGAGATTCGTTCAATGCAATACACGTATATCGATTGATCCGATTCAGAAATTTGCAAGCAAAAGTACAAGCAACCTTTCTTATAGGAAGCTGAAGGTGTGTGTGTGTATATATATATAAAACAAACGATTTTTAATTTCAAACAAATATTGTTTGTACAGAAAATGTTTTAGAATAAAATATTTTGTTTTTAATAAAATGTTTTAATAGAAAGTCACGCAATTCAATGATACTCTTGAATAAAAATAAAATTAAAAACGTTACAACATTAAAATTAAATTAAATTGATATATAAGTTATCATATAAACAATACCAAAAGATAAAAGTTAAGTTATATGATATAATGTATTATAACGTATTGACTTTATGCATTCTTCACGAAAATTATTGTCGTTATTGTTGCTGCGTAAATGTTGACGCACCACAATGTTAAACAGATCAAACATTTGTCAACCTACGTTAACAAATTTATTTATCTCGATGAGATAACCCGAAGGGAAGGAAAATGACCTGTGCTGGCCGTATCGTTTTCGCACCTATTGACGATAAGAATGAAAGCGAGGAAGCGCGCGCGCGTAGTAAATGCATTCTCTCTCGTAATGACAAATGCGATGAAAATCACCGGCAATATGTATGTTTGCCCTTTCATCAAATAACGTGTAATTTGAGTAGCTTAAGAGGCGAATCATTGATATGTCCATCCTAGTAATACAAATAACGAGGTCAGAAGAGATTGATGAAACCGAAATGAGCTGCGCGCGCTGATGCATCTAATTTGGTGCAACAATTTTAATTAATTTTTTGTCGGAACTGTACGTTTGACGAGTTGTTGACAGAGAAGAGAAGGCTGAATATTCGCAGGATTTTATCATTAATTATATACTATAAATCTGAGACACACAAATTATATGTCGTAAATATACTTCAACATTTGTAAATTTTACTTTTTTAAGGCATCGAAATTTTTATGTTTGAAAAAAATTGGGATACAGATCGATATTTAATTCAGCATCAAAGCTGTTCGAATTTAAATTGAGAAGATGTGTAAAATATGTGATTGCACTGATCAGAGAAAGACATATCGGTAGTAAAAATTAAAGAAATAAGGTTGACAGCTATGTATGTAAGTTTTATTATATATTTAGAGTTAATGTACACTCTAAATTTCTTCAGTAAAATCTCATTTCAAGAAAGTAAAAATGCGTTCACTCTTGAAAAAAAAATGAAAATATTTCACTTCTTGAAAAAAAAAGTAATAATCTTCACTTTTTTCAGAGTGAAATCTCTTTTTTTGGATTGAGATTTCACTCCTTTGAAGTGAAAATTCACTTTTAAAAGAATAAAAATTGTCACTCTTTTTCAAGAAGTAAAATTTTCAATTTTTTTCGAGAGTGATTGTATTTTCATTTTCTTAGAGTGAGATTTCATTGTAAGAAATTTAGAGTGTACACTCGTTGTTGAGTAAACTTATTGTATATAGTTATTGCAATTATAAAATATAATTTATTCAATTGTATATGAATTCTACATGTAAATCTTGTATATGTTATCTTCATAGTTCCTACTACAATATTTTTCTCTAAGTATACGTATTTTCCGTGTACGATTGAGAAAACGAAGATTAAAAATACTCAACATTTATATAACTAAAAATGCTATTTTATAAAATTCTTGTGAAATATTTGTATTTTTGGGAATTTCATTTAAGTCAATTAAATTCTGCGATTTAAATAGCTATTTCATCACGATGTCAAGTAGACTCAAAGAGTAATCATAGTGTGTTTGCGTTATTCAGAGATGAGAAAATCAAGATCGAAAAACGCGTATTATATAACTTCCTTATATTGATTGCGAGGGGAGGAAATTTTCTTGTTCGCTTTAAGGACGGCTTTCGTGTTGATTTAAAGACAGACGATGCTAATCCGTTGCTCTATGTTTCCGCGGTAACGAGGAAAGGAGCGCCATTATTTGCCGAGGAGGGAAGGCGAGGCAGTTTATCGTTAGCCAGCAAAATCCGAGGTAATTACGCGTGGAATGTTCAGCTGCACTGTCGAGAAGACACGATTGCATGTTTCGCCTGAAGCTCGAAGTTCACGATTGCGTATCTCGTTTTTTTCTTATTATCATCATTGAATGATTGTTGAGACGTATTTTAAGATTCTCATGTTTATTTAAAATATAATCTGCACGTATATACCGCCCCGTTATCTCTAATAACAAATATTTGTTGGCAATTCACTCATTCTCTTCGTGTCAAACATGGAGTGAGAAGCGTATGGCTCAATGCGTTCACCGCAAAGAAACTCGTCGCTGTAAAAAGAAAAATCGCCGTTCGCCTAGAGTCCAACCCTAATCTCGTCGCGGATGATTCGCACGATCGTGTTGTTGCTGATGCCTACCTTGCGTCGTGCAAGTTTTCCTCGCACCTCCGCGCGCGAGCGTAAGCAGAAATAATCGTTCCCGCCTGTAAGTCACGGACGAGTGAGTCGTTACTATGTATGATCGCCGAGAGCGAGGACGTGGACTCGCGTGATGGACAGCCTGTCTGTACCGTACTTAAGCCGACGCTTATGATAATTACTTAATGCCGCTCTCTAAGAGTTGCACGCACGTATAAATGCGCGCAAATGCGCCGCGCGGCTTCTACGAATCCACGGCCGATACGCCGCGCCACGCCGCCACTTTTACTGGCGACTAAACGAAGCGTCTGAATAAACGGTGTCTGGTCTGGTATTAATGTTACATACATTCGTGCCATATTTATTGTACGGAGATACATCCTGCACTCGTGGCGGCGACTTAAAATAGAATCGTGCTCGTTACGTGTTTTAAACAAAAAAAAACTCTATTCAGCACGATTTGTAATGCTTTCTCTTATTTTTTATGATAAATCCGAAGATTTATATAATCAGAATTTTTTATATACTATTAATATAATTTCTTTCGTCTTTTTATATCGAAAGTCGCTCTCGCAATAATACTCTCTAAAACTTTTAAAGTGAGTGTCACTCTAAAGAACGAAATTTCATTCTTAAAGATTGAAAATTGAGTCAGTTTGTTTCAAGGCTGACTCAATTTTCATTCTTTAAACTGAGATTCCATTCT